GCACTGGTATGTGGCATTGATGGGCACTGACAGGTGGCAATTATGGGCACTGAAAGGCAGCATTGATAGCTATAGTGATAATCAGGGCACTGATGATCAGTGTAGATATCCCCTCTAAGGAATGCCGCTTACCCACTCTCCTCTCCTCACGTGCTGCCAGCGTGAGAAGAGGACTGCCGATAACCGGCATTTCCTATTTACATGCGTTCGGCTGTGATTGGACACAGCTGATCACATGGTAGAGCCATGTCCCAGGGATACAGCGCACCAGAGATCCCTGCGCTGTGCGGCGCACCCCCAGGGGCACGCATGCGCAGCTAGACTGGAAGGATGTCATATGATGTCCTACCAGAACGAGAGAGTCCCTGTCCTCCCGTCATTTCCTTATATGGTGGGCGGGAGGCAGTTAAAGTGACACTAAACACACATTTTCAAAAAAATTAAATAAATGCAATATCTCTAAATATATAACTAGAATGTACCCACTATATCTCCCTTCCTTGGTTTCATATATGCAGGTTTCTTCTTCTGCTGGTCTCAGACTTCCTGTTCTGGGGTGGCTACATTCATTCTCCATGTCCTCCCTGTGTATGTGAACGTAGCCACCTTGCTGCTTGCCCCTGAGATGGACTACACATCTGCCTACAGACTCATTCAGCTCAGTGGGAATTGAAGTACACATAGAGAAAAGCATGTGACCAGAAATTACGGCACTGGTCGCGCTACACTAGTGGAGGATAGGAAGTGTGTCCAGGACAAAAAAGAATCCTGAAAACAATAGTAAGAGACTTTAAGAGTGATGGGATACCTGATATTTTAGAATGATTGATGTAAAAAAGTGAGTTTAATGTCACTTTAATATGTACTTAAAGTGATATTAAAGGCATTAAAAAAATAAGCATGTAATACTTACCTGCTCTGTGCAGTGGTTTTGCACAGAGCAGCCCCGATCCTCCTCTTCTCAGGTCCTCTACTGGCACTCCTGGCCCCTCCCTCCTGCTGAGTGCCCCCATAACAAGCAGCTTGCTATGGGGGCACCCAAGCAGGCTTGCTCCCAAGCCTCTGCTTTGCGTGTCCATTCCCACATGGAGCACCCCCCCCCCCCCCACTCTCTCCTCACTGGCTCACTGGCTGTCTCAGCCAATGAGGAGGGAGAGTCCCAGCAGAGCTGCTGCTCTCATACACATCACTGGATTGAAAGGGGGTTCAGGTAACAATTGGGGGCACTGCTGCACGCTGAAGGTTTTCTACAATGCTAGAAAGTAAAAAACCTTCAGCCTTTACAACCACTTTAAAGATCAGGTTGCTGTGGACCACACAGCACCCTCTTCTTTCACAAATTTCCATACATGAGGTCCAATGCATTTATTTCTGGGACAAATGACCCAATAGGTTTTTCTGAGATGAAACTTTTTGAGCAGCTCTGAGTTCTTTGATGGGTCCTTGAAATGAAATAAGTACCTTTAAATGGTTTGCACTTTTGTCCTGTGTTCCCAGATTAATCCTTCCTTTCTGGCGGGAATAATAGGCAAGGTTGGAAAGGCCTAAGCTTTTATGCTTGGTGACTAATTTCAAAGAAAGAAATCAGCAGCCTTGAAGTCCAGGCAACACAATGGTACAGGGCTTTCATCAGCCTCCCTGTCACAGATCCTTTGTCCGCAGAGCTTTGTCACTAAAGTTCTAATGTGTGTGAATTGTACCTCTGGGTAAAAGTTTGTGTATTTAGAACGACTTACCAAAGATAATTAGTAGCTAAAGCAAATTTGATAGTAAAAAGCAGAACATTGCCATGTGGCAAGGGAGTACCAAAAGATGTAAGAATATATCAATATACACTAAGGACATTCACAATAGATTTCTTCTTCAGGGTATTCTCATTAGATATTTAAACTTTCCTAATAGACTTTCAACTACATTGTTAGGCATCAATTGGTTGACATCTTCAGCAAAGAACTAATGATGAATCCTTTTATCTGCCTGCCCGATTAAGGTGGTGATATACGTGATATCAGTTATATTCATTCTACTCCATATAGTATACACTGTATCCACTTGCCGCACAATCACGTACCTGGTGTGTCATTGTGCTTCAAGTATTTGTACCGGGGTGATCACCCCGCTACCAGTTTTTAGAGCCGGTGGTCGGCTGTCTTATAAAAGCAATCAGAGTGGCTAACTAGCCGCTCAATTGCTTTTATCAGTAGCATGAGGGGAGGTCCCCCACCACCTTCTGCCGCTCCCTCGGGATCTCTCATCCCACTGGGAGACCTGAACATGTCCGCCGGCTGGTTGACAGCTGAACAAAGCCGGGATCGTCTTTGATCGGCTCTCCTTTATAGTAAACCAGAAGCAATGACCTGGCATCAGTTCCGGTCTACTTGGAAATACACGGCGCCATTTTTAAAAAATAAAAGCTTTCAGTCACACTAATCTTGGTGGTTTGAATGCTTTTCAGTGCAGAGGAGGGATTTTGGGTCTTATAGACCCCCAGATCCCTCCATAAAGGGTACCTGTCACGTGCCTATTGCTGTCACAAGGGATGTTTACATTTCTCATTACAGCAATTAAAGGAAAAAAAAAAAATTAAAGAAACAGTGTAAGCATATAAAACATAAAATAAATGAATAATTAAAAAAAAATTAAAGTGCCCCTGTCCCCCTGTGCGCAAAGGTGAGCACAAGTGTCGGTCTTGCACGCTCACAAACAGTGATCAATCCACACGTGAGAAATCACCATGAATGTCAGATCATGGGCAGTATTTCTCACACCAGACCCTCTCTGTAAATTTAAAGTGGTAACCTGTAAAGGATTCTAAAGCATTACCTATGGATAGTAAAATTTATGTCATTTGTCACCACTACGTGTGCTAGGAGCATGCACAATTTTAAAGCGCGACATGTTTGGTATCTATTTACTCAACCTAACATCATCTTTTATATTTTTTTTTTTAATTCTGTTATGTACAATTTTTTTTACATTAAAATTCAAAAAAGTTGATTTTTTTTTCAAAGAATTGCATTTCAAAACCACTGCATAAATACTGTGTGACATCAGAAATTGCAAAAACCACCAATTTATTCTCTAGGGTCTCTGCTTTAAAAAAAATATATAACGTTTGGAGGTTCTAGGATATTTTCTAGCAAAAACAAATTGTTACATATAAACAGAAAGTGTCAGAAAAAGCCTAGTTTTTAAGTGGGTTCACACTTTGCTAGAAGAGTTCACAAAAATGTGATTGTTTTGTGTGAATAGAAAACCTTCCATGAGAAAAACATGGGAGTGCTAATGCTGAACTCTTGAAAATGCTAGTTGACTGGCTGTTACACTGGCCCATTAGCTTTAATACTTTCCAAATTACCGACATGGAACAAGCATGCGGATGAGGAAAACCATAAGTACTTATATACTGTAAAAATATATATATTAATTGCTCTGGATAAGATAATCAAAGTGTTAATACAAGAGGGCCAGCATACAATATAACATTTTCATTAAGTGTACTCAGTGATGGAAGCCTCTATGCCAGGCGTGTCCAAATAAATTTCATCATGGGCCGCATCAGCATTATGGATAGCCTCAAAGGGCTATCTGTAAGACTATATAAATGTATCTACTTTTTATTACAATAAACAATTGCCTCTGAATTCGATTATCACTGGTTTTAGCAATAACTTAGGATTTAAAGCGGAGCTCCAGTTCAAAATAAAAGTCAGCAGCTACAAAAACTGTAGCTGCTCTTTTAAAAAAACAACCACCCACCTGTCCCTTGATCCAGCACTGTGCTCACCTCTGTCCAACATCCTCTGTTCCCGGCACCTTAACTGTAGGCACCTGGCTGTGACAGCTGGGTGGCCATTGCGCATGCGCAAGCAGCGTTGCGCATTGTGAATAGTCCTGCAGTCTTCTGGGACCTGTCACATGTCTTGGAAGAATGCCAGGGTGGGGGAGTTGAGAGGTTGGAGGAGAACCTCCTCTTCCGATCGCTTAGGTCAGTGGTCGGCAAGCCGCGGCTCGCGAGCCACATGCGGCTCTTTACACGCTTTAATGTGGCTCTTGTGTGCCGGGCGCCCGCTCCCCTCCCTCCTCTGCGGGACTCTGCAGCGTGATCCAAAAAAAAAAAAACAGCCAGGGCAGGCGCTCAAATGCAATGATTGGCCAGTCTCGCTGCCACTCACATCCTGATAGCCAGTGATTGGCTGTCAGGATGTGTGTAGGCGGGGCAGCGTGACGAACGTGAGAGGAGCTAGGCTCCTCTCACAGTCCGCCCTGAAGACCGGAACAGCGCGGGAACACGGCGAGAGGAACGCGCGGAGCAAAGGTAAGTGAATTGACACAGGGGGGACTTGGCTTTACTACTTGCTACTTACTTACTACTACTATATGAGGGATGAATTAATATGGGGGATGAATTACTATAGGGGGGATGAATTACTATATGGGGGATGAATTACTATGGGGGATGAATTACTATGGGGGATGAATTACTATATGGGGGATGAATTACTATATGGGGGATGAATTACTATAGGGGGGATGAATTACTATGGGGGATGAATTACTATGGGGGATGAATTACTATATGGGGGATGAATTACTATGGGGGATGAATTACTATGGGGGATGAATTACTATATGGGGGATGAATTACTATATGGGGGATGAATTACTATAAAAACTTATTGAAACTAAAAACAGTGTACCATCCTATGTATTTTCAGTTTTAAAAATGTGGCTCTCAAAATAAATTTCAATCGTGGTTTTGGCGAGATTTGGCTCAGTTGAAAAAAAAGGTTGCCCACCACTGGCTTAGGTGGTCGAAGCGGAAGTGGGAGCAGGTACCTTTCAAAATCGGGTACACGCCCCCCCCCTGCTCCCCAAAGGTGACATTTTCTAACAGGGAGTGGGGAACGAGCCCTTAAAGTAGAACTTTCCCTTCTAGGTGGAGCTCCACTTTAAGCTGTGCATGGGGAGGGTGGGGGTGTGGGAAATCATTCCCTGACAGGGGCGGACTGACCATTTGGAAACTTGGGCACTGCCCGAGGGCCCAGGGTCAGTAGGGGGCCCCATGAGATGCCCCTGGTACCTTTTTCATAGGCTTTTTTTTGAGTTTGTGCAAGGACACAGGGGCCCCATGATCCCCTATTGCCCGGGGGCCCCATGAGTTATCAGTCCGCCCCTGTTCCCTAATTACAAAATGAAACATTCACACTATAACACACATCATAACACATGCCATGACTCAAGTTACAATGAACATGATCACTACATAACAAACGTTATCACAGCAGAAGGTAACGCAGTATAGATTTGCATTGCCATGCCCCAAAGCACATTTACAGTACCCTGCAGTGTATGGGTGTATTGTGCACCACCACTGTGCAAAAAATTGTGCCGGAAATATTTTTATGCAATCAGAGGAGCATTGGCAGCCTTTTAGGGCCAGTTCACACTATGTGCGTTTCAGTGTGGCTTTTTTTCTGCATCCAAAACGCACAGAAAGTAGGTTATATGATTGTCAAGGTCAGAGTTCACATCAGTGCTTGCAGTTCCAGTACGTTGCAGTTGGGAGAAAAAAAAAGGAAGAACAGAGCATTTTTCCTGCACAGAATTGTACTGGAACGCAGTAAAACACAACAAAAACGCACCGGAACACACCAAAAACGTACTAGAACGCACATTTCCCTATTCAAATTGAAGAAAAAGTAAGGGCACTAAAATGCATCAAAAACGCACCAGAATGTGTCAAAAAATGTGTTAAAAATGAACATGCAGAAACACATCTGGAATGCATCTGGACTGCGTTTCTATGGTGTGAACCGGCCCTAAAAGTATATGTGAACCCTCAACTTCCAACCTATTCAGTTTAAAATAGAAATGAAAGGCAAGCATTTGTGTTTACATATAAAACTCATTATAAATGCCCACCTTTTTTCACATACCCTCTGTTCTCAGCTGCATAGCTCAGAGAGCTGGGGGGGGGGGGAGCAGAAAAAGCAGAACATTGATCTTCTCAGTGAATAGCTGTGCAGGGCAGGGGGGCAGGACAGCACATGCCCGATCATTGATGGAGAGCAGTCTGAGTTCTCAGCACAGCTAGAAAACTGACCATCCTGTGCTCTCCTGCCTAGAGTGGTCAGTTTTTATTAGGAAAGCGGAGAGAGTGGCAGGAGCACCAGATATAAGGCTCTGTTTGCACCTATGCAGTTTGCTTTTTGTCCGTGTTGCAGTGCTTTTTGCAATTAATTTTGCGTTTTTCCACATGCGTTTTTGTCGAGTTTTTACCACGTTCTGTTGAGCTCTTCTTTTTTTTTCTAAGTGGATTTTTTTTTTTTTAGCTGGCAGAATAAAAATACAAAATGCGGCAAAAAACGCACCACCATGCATTTCAGCAGATTCTCCACTGAATGCTATTGTAGCAAAAACGCTGCTTTTTGCTTTCAAAAAAGTCCCTCACCCTGTCCAAAACGCTGCAGCTCAAAAAGCATAGAAGGAAACCATGTTAAATGGACTATAATGTGTTTCTGCAAAAAGCACAAAAAAAAAACGCATTGGTGTGAAAGGAGCCTTAGGCTCCATGTACACGGGATACTTCTGAAAGATGGAAACTGACTGCTGGAAAACGTAGGTTAAAAAAGTCTATTTAGTTGCGTTTGCATACCACGTTTATGCACGTTTTTGAGTGTTTGCGTTTAGAAGCGTTTTTTAAAGATAACCTCAGGAGACCTTCCCAAATGCCCAGAATGCACTGAAAAACAGTAAAATTTAACTATTTCAGACATTTTGAGAGAATGAGAGAGAGCAAAAGCAGAGAGAGCAGTATTTGTTGTCTTTTTTTTTTTTTTTGTGGTGTTTGGATGTGTTCCAGCTCATTTCTGTGCAGAAATTATTACAGCAGTGTCTAACATATTTTCTTTCATGCGAAACCTCAAAGTATGGTGTACCAGATCCATTTGAGTACCGGGAGAACGCTTTGCATGCATTTTTCATGATGAAAAAAGGCTCTGGACAGCATCTGGAAATGGAAGAGTTAAAAAAAAACTGCAAACGCTTATAAACGCGGTTAGCCGCATTTACAAGCGTTTGGTGTTTGAAACGCTGATAAAATCTACTCCTGAATGCAAGTTTCAAAAAAACGACTGTAAACAACTGCCTGTAAACGAAGATGTGTACATGGACACATAGAAAAACATTAGGGAGAGTTCAGGGGCTGCTGAAAAAAACGCTAAACAGCTCCTAAACGTGAGTTTATCAGCTGCAGTGTACAAGAGCATTTATACACAAAGGAAGCAATACAAAGAGAACAGAATACAAGTACATGGTTTATGACCTTTACATTTAGTATTACAATTCTGCTTGCAGCTAAGGAATGATTTTATGAGTACAAACATCAAGATTATGAATTGCAGTTCATCCTGTACAGCAATATATCAAAACTATTTTACGGTTTGGTTGGATTTTCCCAGATGATTTATAGAGATATGAGAGTGATAAAACCAGAACTATTTCCCCAGTTCCTGAGAACAGACAGGATTTGACCAATTTGGAATTTGAAGGACCTGCTTTGTTTTTGTTTTTTTCTTCCACAATCATCCAAAAATACACAAGATCCGGAAAAAAATAACCTTGGTGTGGGATGGAAAACCGTAGGCAGTTTTACTGAAAGGATCAGAGATTGACAAGTGTGATAATGAAGAAAATCAGAATAGCCATTGTGGGAAAATAATGCTGAATTCAAAGGTAGCAGAACTGATAGACGCCAGCAGTTAATGAGGGAGATAATCAAGGCTTCTGCAAGGCTGTACTAATTCCATCTGTGTAAGGATGAGCACTGGCAATCACACTGAGATTATACCTTTATCTCTCAGTAGATAGGAGGCAAGTTTACCGCTTGTTGGAGGTTGCACCTACCGTGGTTACACCTCTCTGATTTCACTGTAACCTACTATAACACCCCGCTCACACTGCTCACAACTTTGAAATCGTTCGACTTAGGCTACGTTCACACTAGCCTTGTTAACAAGCGGCAGACAGGCGTTTGGGAAGCGTTTTTACCGTTTTCCAAATGCCTCGGAAAATTCTCCACATTGCAGCACATAGTGCTGTTCAAACTGAGCCGTTAGTGTCGTGGCAAAACGGACGCCTCTGGTCGAGTCAGGAGGAATTGAAGCCTAATATTCAATTCGGCGTTCGCGGTGCGGTTGCAAGGCATTTGCAGAGCGTTAACACCATTCAAACTTCATTATAGGCGTTAGAAACCGTTGCTAAACCGCACATGCGGTGTTTTTGGAGCATTTGCGGAGTGCTAAAAACTCTCCGCAAACACCGGACCAACGCTTGTCAAACACTATAGCGGCGTTTGGCAAGAGTTGGAAAAAAAGTCAAGTGTGAACGAGCCCTTACAATGCAGTCGGATGACATGCCGATTTGAAGTGCAATTTGCAAGACATCTGCCACAGATGTCTATGCAAATCACACCAAAAGTAGTGCATGCACTACTTTAAAAATCTCTGCAAGTCAGAACCGAACCGATATGACTGCTGTAACTGCGGACAATAGGGTGCGACTTGGCATGTGATTTGCAAGTTATATGGCATGCAAATTGCAAGGCAAGGCGCACCCAGTGTGACCGGTGACTAAGTGGACTTATGATAAACTGGTTTTCAAGCCTACAAATCTTCCTCTGAGTTTAGCTGAAGACAATATAAGAGAGAATTTATTAAAAAGGAACTGCTGTATGTTAATGAGTATCATATACTCCTTAAAGTGATTCTAAAGGTTCATTTTTTTTTTTTTTGTCGTAAAATAACAAACCTGTCTATACTTACCTGCTGTATGCAGTGTTATTTCACAGAGCAGCCTGGATCCTCCTCTTCTCGGGTCCCCTGCAGGCTCTCCTGGCCCCTCCCTCCTGTCAGGTGCCTCCACAGCAAGCAGCTTGCTATGGGGGAACCCACTGCTCCATGTGTCCATTCACACATGGAGCCATGGCTTGCCCCCCCCACCCTCTCCTCGTTAGCTGACTAGCTGTGATTGACAGTAGCGGGAGCCAATGGCTGTCTCAGCCAATGAGGCGGCAGAGACCAGTGACAGACGAGGCTGTCACTCACATTGCTGGATCGCGATGAGGCTCAGGTAAGTATTAAGAGACTGGGGGAGCTGCTGCACTCAGAAGGTTTTTTACCTTCATGCATAGTTTTTGTGAATGGAAGAAAAGCCTATTTAAAAAAAACAGACGAAAAACAGATGTAAACGGACAAAAACAGATGTAAGTGGACACAAACGGATGTAAATGGACAAAAACAGATGTAAATGGACGAAAAAACAGATGTAATGGACAAATAATGGATATAAATGAATGAAAACATGCAAACTGATGAAAAACGGACAAAAAAAAAACGATATAAACTGATCAAAAACGGATGAAAAGCTGATGTAAATGGATCAAAAACGGATGTAAACTGATGAAAAACTGACGTAAACCAATGAAAAGCTGAAGTGAACTGATCCGTTCTTTCTTGGAAAAAACATGACTGAACTGTTGAAAATGTGTTTTTACTGCTTTTTTGCCATCCTTCTGTGTCTTTTGCACCTGTGAAAAAGGGACAGATGACTCCAATAATGCAACCATGGGTGCATTTTTTTGATGTGTTTTAGATGTGTTTTATATTCATTTCCATAGGGAGGTGCGGTTTTGGTGCTTTTTTTTTTGTACTGCACCAAAAATGCGGCAAGCAGGACTTTTGAAAACGCAAATGAATGGCAACTGATTGGTGTGAAGCGCTCCATAGGATTTGATGGTCATGTATTTTTCTTCCATTTTTGGTAAGGCAGAAATGGAAGAAAAACTGATCAGTGCGACAGGGGCCATAGTGGGAGATGTGTCTATCCAGTAGCATGGATGGTGGGATGGAGGGATCTATTACTGTATGTCCTGCTTAACAGCAGTTTTTGTTTTTTTTCCAGACCCCCTGTAATATAGTTTTATTACCTCTTGATCCTGTCTGTAGATCTGCTTTTTTTTTCCATCGGGCAATAAATTTGTTACAGAGAGGAAAAACAACTGCTGTGTTAATGCTATTAACTGACTGCATTATATATGTCATTTCTTTTTTTGCCAGTAGTTTATTCTAATTCATGTTTAAACCTAGACTGTACACATGGCATTTGGAAGCTGATGCTACTGACAAGATAAGTTTTGCTTAGCAGCC